CCCCCCCCCCTTGCAAACCGCCTTCATGCAGCCGCGAGTCCCGAGGGCTCCCCCCCCCCCCCATTGCAGCCAGCCAGCCTTTGGAGGCAACGCAACCAGGGGCCGAGGAAGGTGTCCCGGGCCTCTCCTGTTTCCCCCACACACACACACACACCAGCCGGAGCAGGCGAGGGAAAGGGGGAAGAGGCTGCAGCCTGCTGTCCCTGCACTGCAGCTGGCCTTGGTGGAGCCGGCTTCGTTGCGGTAGCTCCGCTTTGGTGCTTCTGTTGGCTCCTGGTGGTGGCCTGGACGGGTCCCTGCAGTTCTCTTGGCAAGGTTCCCAAAACTGATTGGCCATTGCCTCCTTCCTAGGGCTGCGAGAAAGTGACCGGCCCAAGGTCACCCTGAGGGCTCCAGGCTGAGAATCTTCAGCAGGCTGCAGAGGAACTCCTTAGCCCTCACCTCAACACCGAAACTGGATTAACCCGGGTGTGTTGGGATCAAAGTGGAGTGAGCCCTTTGGTGGCCTTCCCACAGCCCCAACCCCCACCCCCAATCTAGTGAATGGGAAAAGATTATCTAGGCAAAACAAAACAAAACAAAAAACAACTCCTCCAGTCTGCCATGTCTCAAACTCTCCCTGGATTGCAAAGGGAGCCTTCTCTGCAGGCTGAGAAAAAAAAGAGCCTGGGACACTGGAGAAGGGAAACCTCCCTCAGCTCTTCTGCTTTAAAAAGTTAGGTTTTTGGCTCCAGAAAGCAGCCTTGGCAAACAGCATCTGCTACTGGCCCAGAGTTCGTTCCCTGCTGTGGCCAGAGAAATTCTGAGAAACTGAGAAATTCCCAGGTTATCATTCCCAAGTTACTTTAAGTCCCTAACAATGAATTGCCTCAGTTTTGATTTGATAGCAATGACGACAAGTCTTATTCAGGCATGTCAAGAATAGCGATAACATTTTGGCTTAGGTGCCACTTCACAGTGCTTTACAGCCCACTCTGAGCAGCTTACAATGTCAGCATTATCCGTATGGGCCCCCCAACAACCTGGGTCCTCATTTTACTGACCTTGGAAGGATGGAAGGCTGAATCCACCACCTTGAGCCTATCTGGATGGAAGTCCTGGCTGTGGACAGAGTTGGCCTGCAATGCTGCCTTCTAACCACTCCGAGCCATAAAACCGCAGGGCAGAAGGCAGGAACGTTTTGACCAAGGATGTCTCCCAACTGGCATCACAGATATGAGGACTTCTTGCACTCCCAGATACCATCTGATTGTGGGGCCCTACTCTCTCCCCCACCTCCAAGACGTATCTGCTTATGGCTGCCAGGCCTTCCTCGCCCCACAGCTTCAGGTGCCTGTGCTTATTAGTCAACAGTGCTATTAGCCGAAATATTCAGTTCCAGCGTCTCTGGCAAAGCCCCGGTTTTTTCCAATAATCACTCCAGCAAAGGCACTTATGATTCTGCAGCTGCTGAACCCCAACAGTCAGTGGTTACAGGAAGGCCTGGAGGCAAAACCAGGCCTCCCAAAGAGCTGGCACTGGAACGCAGCACCCTCCTCTCCGGAGTTCGAGGACGGTGCTTCTTCCCACCGGAGGGTGGGGCGGGAGGGGGGAAATCACCCCAAAGTTGGCCCCTATTGCTGTTGCGGCTCCTCCACACGCTGCCTGGGACCAGTTGGAGTTCCCGGCGGGGCCGCCTCCTCCGTCTCCTGCTGGCAGGGGCAGCTCTTCGGGTCTTCTTTCCCAGGTGGGCACAGGGACCTGGCCAGGTTCGCCTGGAAAGCAGGAAGCACAAGACGAGGGTGGACTAACGCCGGCACTGGCACAACACCCCACCATCACCCTAGGGGGGCTTCCAAGAGCTTTTGTGACTGATCTGGGCCAGAGGTTTGGCAGCCCCTCTGCGTATCAGGCCAGAGGTGCTCAGGCAAACAAGCCAGGGGCCAGCCAGTAAGATCCACTGCCCTCCCACTCCAGGTAACCAGTGCCAAGGGGCCTGGGGGCACAACACTAGGGAAAGCCTCCTGCCCCCCGTCCCCACTGGCTAAACCAACGGCCCCAGAGGGTGGCTGCGATCTCTCTCTTCATTCTTGCCTTCCGTTCTCGGCAGAGCAGGTGTGGCCATAACCCAGGGCCAGATCAAGGCAAAACCTTCTCTGCTGGGCATGCCAGCCCAGGCTCCGGGCAAGGAGCCCCCTCTCGAAGGCCGCCTTAAGTAAGATCCCTGGGCAGGGAGAGGGGGCACAGGTAAACTGCCCTGAGCAAAGGAAGAGGCCACCCCTGATTTGGGGCAGAATAACCCAGGCGGATTCTGAATCGGGAGAAAAATGTTGTGCGGTATAAACTCAAGGCTCACCTGCCCAGACAGCTGGCAAGTGAGGCAATTCAACAGGAGTGCCAGGCAGATGCCCCACTTGCCCTCCCACCCAGCCTCAATGGGGAAAACAGCTGCCAGTCGATGCCATGAGCAGACCGGCCGGCATATTGCTGAAGCTCTTCCTAGGCACCGTCTGAACCGTCTCCTCTGAACAAACTTTCACAAAACGCGCCTGTCTCCTAGAAGAGGCGCTAAAAGTACCCAGCGTCACCCAGGGAGACGCACGCCAGGCAGGCCTGTCCAAGCAGCCCCACAGGGAGGCTGCAGGGTCAGCAAGGGGGGGTGCAAGAACCTGAGCAATCTCCCCCGCCCCCCCCCCCACTGCCCCTTGCTGTAGCCCACTCCCACCCCATGGCTACAGTCCCCTGGCAGGCAAAGCTCAGGGCCCACCAACACCCCGTTGAACGGCGTCCTAAGCTGAAATAGACCGGCAGCATCTGCCAATCTTGCCCCAGCTCCCTAATGGCGAAATGAGAGGGGAGGTATGTGGACCTGGGCAATTTTAAGACCTGTGGACTTCACCTCCCAGAATTCCCCAGCCAGCCCCGCTTTCTTCCTTTTCTTTCTTCTTTTTCTTTTCTTTCTTTCCTTCCTTCCTTTCCTTTCGCTCTCTGCTTCTATTATTTCTTTTATAGATAACATGGTCACAGAGATAAATGGAACACTTTCTTCACCATAAATCCTATGAACGTTATTTTATTCAATTAAAAATATTTGCCTTATTTCTCCTTAGCCCCCACATTTCTTCTGGGCAGAGCTAGATAATTTCCCCCACTGTCAAAACAGCACAATCGTCATCAGCAACACCATCCCAAACTGAGTAGGATGCGCTGTTTAAGGGGCACCACCTCACGTGCTTTTGCGTGTAACATGTATTTCAGTGGACCATTCAGAAACTAATCAATGGTTTCCCCCCCAAACTCCCCTGCTGGCTGGGGAATTCTAGGAGTCCACAAGTCTTCAAGTTGCCAAGGCCGGGTGTCCCTGGGCTAAATTCGGGAACAGCTTCAGCAAATGCCACGGCCTGCAGCAGCCAGAAGTAGCCGGTGGAATACAGGAAGTGCTACCACGGTAGATGGAATGGGAACTGGCCCAAAGGCTACAACCCATAGAAAATACGGCCCGGTGAGCCTCCATATTGTGATGCACACATCTGGGACAACCGCGTGGCAGAAGCGGCTTCTCTTCTCTTGAAGCTCCGGTCCTGGCGTTGCCCCAGAAGGGCACCAAGCGGGGCGCATAGAGAGAGTCCGTCCAAGGTTCACCACTGCAGGTGCCCACTCCAGGGGCCTGGGCTCTCTGGAGCCAAAAGGGGTTGATGCAGGCAGGATGTGGGCTGGCAGAGAAGGCGGCTGTTGAACTGAGCAGCTCCACGGGGATTACAGGCTAGGTCACGAGGGCTGGGCCTGTAGTGTTTCTCAATTCCAGCAACTTTTAAGATGTGTGAACTTCAACTCCCAGGATTCCTTGGCCCAGACGGCAGCTGAGGAATGCTAGGAATTGAAGTCCACACAGCTTAGAGCTGCTACAGGAATTTGGGGTGGATGGTTGAGACAGATAGTTGAGACATATGGCTTTAGTGAGCTGGTGAGGCACCTCAGTAGTGAGGACTCAGCACTTCCACCTGCACTGAGGAGACCGAGGCCGCTCTTTCGAAGACAGCAAAGTCCACCACCTGGACCGAGAGGACCGCTGGTTTGAAAGAGGGGCTCAAAGAGGCCACCTGGGTCCAAACTGAACACCTCAAGAGGGGGAAGGAGGGATACAACCTCATCTACAGGATACAACACAATCCTTTCAACAGAACCTTCTGGGATGTGAAGCGAAACACCTTCAAAGAAAAACCAGGAAGTCCCGTTGCCTCTGGAAAAAGCACCTTTCGGACCACCAGGGCCTGGAGGATTGAGAATACTATAGACCCTCCTTCCAGCAGCTCCAAGGCGGCTCCACGCCCATTTGCACCACTCAGGTGACCCTGAGGACACAGGTAAACCTCCAGGTGGCCTCTAAAAAGGATGCAAATGACCAGCTGTCTGCAAGGGGTATAAATCCTTCCCCACCACCCAATCAGAGCTGAAGAAGCTTCCTGGATGAGAAGCGAAATGTCTTCTAAGAAAACCAGAAAGTCCAGTTGTCCCTGGGGGAAAAAAACACCCTTGGGACAATCTCAGTGGTGAGGTTAGCAGGACATGGGGGGGGGGCTCAGTCTCCCGCTGGGGGAGCCAGGGCCCATTGGAGGGGCTGCCACCTAGTAGTTGCCACGAGGTCATTCATGCAATTGGGGTACCTACAGCTCAGCCCACCTTGTGAGGGGACCGCCTGGACTGATCAATTATTTTCTGAAATATTTTCCCTCTGTACAACATGAAATAAAGGTAGGCATGTCCACCTGGTTCAGACGGTGATGTCTCATACATAATTTAAAAAATTACCTCTCCTGACTGTTACTTTAAAAGTTTAGAAGCCAGCAGCTCTGGCTTCAAAATAACTGCATTATTCTTGTTTTCCATTTCTTTTTTCCATGTACCCAAAAAGAATTGGGCAAAGGAAGGTTGGCATGTTATTAATTGTCATTCAATTATGGAATGAAAAGTGCCGTGGAAGTTAAGTCCCCCCCTCCCTTAGCGCACACGTTTTGGATGGTGGAAGCTCCTCCCCTTTGGAGCGGGATGTGGGTGCCCTTGGGGACCCCAAGGTAATCTTCAGCCTGCTAACCAGGCCAATGCTATCCCTGGGGGGCATAAAGGGGACCATAGGAGGCCAGTGACCCCCTGAACCAGATCTTCTTTTGGGGGGGGGCAGTTCTGGGCTCCCCAACTCAGAACAGACAGCGATACACCGGAGCAGACAGAGAGAAGGGCTACTAAGAGCGCAGAGGATCTGGGGACCAAGAGTTACAGGATCTAGCTATGTTCAGTCTGCAGAAGATATTTTGGGGGGGGGGGGGGGGGGGGTCTGACCCAGAGGTCAAGAGGCGCTTCCGGCTGACAAGATGTTAGTCCATGGAACAGCCTGCCACAAGACGCGGGCACTTCTCCTTTGCAGGGATGAGATGGTCCTTCCTCATTGACCCTTTGAACTCCAGGGTGTGTCTGTGTGCCCAGGTGGGCCACGCCCCATTCTCCAAAGGGGTGCCAGACCGGGGGCTTACCTCTTTGGTCCTGCCCCCCTTCTGGGGCTGGTGGCTGGGGTGGTTCACGGTCCACGGACCCAGAGACAGACCAGCGTAGAAGTCCATGGGGTAGATCTCCTGCCATTGGATCTGCTGCAGAGCCACCGCAGCCTGGGGGGGCGGGGCGGGGGGGGGAATAAGAGGGCGGGTTGGAGCAGCCGGGGCCCTGTCCTCCCCCTCCCCCACTGGGGGCCATAAGAGGCTGGTTGTCTGCCCCCCCCACACATAAAGATCACCTGGCCACCAGCGCCCAGCCCTTGGGTGGGAGGGGTCCCTTTCCGGCTCCCCCCTCCAGCCCCCCCCTTTACCTCATAGGGCGTCAGCAGCGGCTTCTCAAAGGCCGCCCCCCAGTCGATGGAGAGGCGGGGACACGCCACCTGCACCCAGCTGGGTGGAGGAAGAAAAGGGGGAGGGATGCAGAGCTCGTTCTTCCACCGGGTCCAGTCCCCCCCTTGCCCCCCCCAGGGCAGAAGGGAAGCGGGAGGCAGCATGAGGGAAGGACCCAGGGAACCAAGGCCATCTCACTCCAGCCCCTCCCTAACACCCCCCCCCACGCCCACCCCCACCCCCGGGGCAGCCCGAAGGCAACGGGGTCCACGGACCAGCATGCTGGGGAGGGGCCTTCCAGGACTCACGCCTCGACATCTGGAAACAGCTGGAGTTTGCTGGGGAAGATCTCGGAGAGGAGGAGCCGGGTGTAGGGACGCCCTGCCGCCTGCAGGCTCGACTCCAGGTGCTGCTGCCAAAAAGGGGAGGGTGCTCACGCCGGCTCCACTTGCCAGATCCTTGGTCGGCGTTCCCCAAGCAGGAGGGGGCGGGGACCCCCCCCCGGCTCATCCGCAGCTGCACTTCCTGCACGGAGCTCCCAGGGCCTCCCCAAAGCCCAAACTGCGCTGGCAGCCTCTCAGGGGTCTTCCAGGGCAGGACCCTGAATCGGGGTGCCCCTCACCCACCCCCTGTGCAGGGCACAGGCAGCGGCCACGGCGAGGGCCTCCTCGCTTCTGCCTGGCCCCCCCTGGTTCCTGGGCTGCCAGGTGTGGCCAGAGGAGGAACCCACCTGCAGGATGGCCGGAGAGCCCTGCCGCCCCAGGGTGCCCAGGATGAGGCCCCACTTGCGGGCACCGGCCGCTTGGCGGATGGCTGCCTTGCGCGACTCCTGCATGCGCTGGTGGTCGTAGAGCTCCTGGGAGAAGGCCTTGCTGTAGGGGTCGTACCTAAGGGGGGAGGAGCACCAGGAGGGGGCCCTGAGTGGCCCTGCGGACCCCCCTCGGCAGGCGGGGTGACCCAATCCCCTTGGGCCACCTTCTGATGAGCCAGGGGAAACCAGATTCGCTTAACGACGTCTTAATAACTGCAGTGATTCGCTTAACAACTGCAGCAAGGAAGGTCATAAAGTGGGGCAAAATTCACTGAACGGACATTTTGGGCTCAATTGTGGCCATAAACGGAGGGACCCCCGCAGCTCCCTGGGCCGAGGGTCACCCTTAAGGTCAGCGCGGCCAACCCTTCCCTCAGGCCAGGAATCCACCCGTGGGCCTCGGCCACTGCTGGGCAGCCGACCCTGGCTGGAAGCCACCTGAAGCGGAGGGACCCCTCCAGGCACTGGCCCTGGGGCCAAAGGGGCTTCGGCGGAGGAACCCGCCTTCTGGTACCTTCCACTTCCTGCATCCACACGCACCATTGAGTGAAAAGGAGGACTAGGGGCCACATGACAGCAGCATCCCGATATCTCAGGGGCTGCCCCAAAGAAGAGGGGAGTCCACCCGTTCTCCATGGAGGCACAGTGGGTAGAGCGCAGTACTGCAGGCTGCTTCTGCTGACTGCCGGCTGCCTGCAATTTGGTAGTTCGAATCCCACCAGGCTCCAGGTTGACTCAGCCTTCCGTCCTTCCGAGGTGGGTCAAATGAGGAGCCAGGTGGTTGGGGGCCAGAGGCTGGCTCTGTGAACCGCTTAGAGGGGGCTGTGAATAGAAGCCCAGAAGGCTAAGGGCTAAGGGCTATGGCTATTTGCGGGAAGGACAAGCAGCAACAGATGGAAACTCATGAAGGAGAGAACCAACCTGGAACTAAGGAGTCTTCCTGACGGCGAGAACAATTAATCAATGGAACAGCTTTCCCTCCAGAAGTTGTGAATGCTCCAACACTGGAGAATTTTACAGAAGAGAGAGAGAGGCCACTTGTCTGAAAGGGTCCAGGGTGTCCTGCCTGAGCAGAGGGTTGGCTAGAGGACCTCCAAGCTCCCCTCCCCCCCTGTGATTCAATTCTACTCCATCAGTCTCCCCAGGGTCTGAAGGGGGCCCTCCAAGCCGCCTCAGGGGTTCCTGCTGCCTGGATCATCCCCACCACCCTTCACTGAACTGGCTCCTAACTGAACCCGTCTTTGATGGTGGTGCCCAGGCTGGACACAGGGCACCCTGGCCCAACCAGGGCAATCCACAAAACTCCGCTCAAAACTCTCTGTGGCCCCTTCCTTGAAGCCACGTCCTGGGCGTTTTCTGAGTTCCCAGGCCTCCCCCATCCTAGGAGTAACACAGCCAGGCCCTGCTTAGCTTTAGAGCAGGGGTGTCCAACGTGGGCCACCCGAAGACCTGTGGACTTCAACACCCAGGCATGGCTGGGGAATTCTGGGAGTTGCTCCACAGGTCTTCCGGTGGCCCAGGTTGGACCTCCCTGCTTGGGAGCCGTGGACGGCCACGGGCTGCAAAAGCTGGAAATGCGCAATAGAGTGCCTATAATCGTAAGAGCTGGGCTTCCGGTTTGAGCTTCTTCGGCGACAAACCAAAATCTGCGATCGTGCGGAGTTTCAATCTGTGCTGGAGCGCCCCGAGCCGGCTGGTTTCGGGGCTAAGCCATCCCGTAGAGGTGGTGAAGAGTGGGGAGACTGCCAGCAGGGTCGAGGAGAGTCGCATCTCTCCTCCCCAGCTGGCCATCACTACCTTTCCCAAAGGCGGTTGCAGCGGTGGTCAGAAATGGCCACCACAAAGGAGAACTCGACCGGAAAAGAATGTGCAGGAGGAAGATAAGAAGTGAAAGTTTTGGCTGACCAGGTTAAATTGTAAAAGCAACAACCAAGGTACCCTGGAATTTGAATTATAAAGAAGAACATTGTTCCCAAAGAAGACCTTGAAGCGGCGAATGAGAGAGGAAAGGGAAAGGATTTGGGTTTTTTTCTTTTCTTCCCTATATTGACTATGAGATTTAAGCAAGAAACTGGCAAAAATCCACTTTGACATTAACAGGTATTTAAGCTGAAAATAAAATGTCAAAGGTATAATAAAGATTTCTGGATTCTCAAAAACTTTTAAAATAAGGAAAAAAACAAAAGGGTGGGATCTGGAAAAATGAAGGAGACCACCTGGAAGTGAAAGGAATTAACAGTGAAACTTTAACAAGATTCCTCAAAGATACATTTTAACTGAAACTTTGCAACAAGATAAGAGAACCCCAGGAAGAGAAAGTGGAAAAAAGAAGCAAGAAGAAACAGCTTTGGATTATTTGGATTACTTCGTGATTTTTTTGATTTTGGGCTATCGGATCTAAAGAACTAAAATTAATCGGGTGGTTGTTTAAAAGTTTTTAAAATGGTATCACTCTTGGAAGAATTGAGAATGAAACTTAAAAAACAGAAAGATGCACAAGAAGGAAGAGGTTGTTTTGGCTTCGTATTTCAATTTTTAGAAATGGAGATCCTGAACTATGAGAAACAAGAAGAAATGCCTGTAGAACAAGAAGGGCGGGACAAAGAAGAAGCCATCTTCAATGACCAAGTATTTCTATGTGGGGAAAAGAAAGGAAAGGGGGGGGGGAAAGAGAGTGAAAAATTTAAGATTTGAAAAAAACAACCCCAAAAAAGAATAGTTTGAAAAGTAATCACAACATTAGGAAGAAACAGAAGAGAGGATTACAGAAGAGAGAATCAGAATTAGAGAGAGAAGGGGTCAAAAAGGGAAGGGAGAAGAAGAGGGGGAAGAGGGAAAGGAAAAGAAATTAAGGACAGAAACAGGACATAGAGGAACAGGGAAAATGTACAAGGATTAAGGGTATAAGCCTATTTAGAAGACACAGAGATAATGGGTGAAAACTTAATTGAAAGGGGGATTCTGCAAGGGTACATAAGATAGTATTGTTATATTAGAAATAGAAATGAACTTTGAAAATATGAAACAAGTGTGATTAAAATGATAGATAAAATACTCATTGTAATGTAATGGAATGTTTAATAAATAAATGAAATAAAGAGAATGAGAGAATGAAATTAGGAAAGAAGGGGAACATTTTAATTATTATAAATGTGTTATAAAAATTTAAGTGAAGAGGAATATGAAAGAAACATTAAAAAATTATGGAAATAAGTGTTCCTAAAAGTATGATACCCTATTGAAAAGAAATGTTAAAGATGTCAAAGATTATAACTAACATTAATGATAGAGCTGAACTGCAATAGAATAAGTATTTTATTTATTATTGTTATATATATATATATATTCTCTTTAAGAACTTAGTGCATATTTTAAGAATGTATAAGCAGAATTCGACTGGAAGTTATGTGCTATATTGAAATGTTATAATTGTAAAGGCATAAATTGAAGTTGAATGGATAAAAATTAAAAGATACAAAGGTGTCATACTCCAATTAGTAACTACAGGGAAAAATTTTGTTTAATGAGAAAAGAAAATATGAAATTGAAACAGGACAGACAAAAGTATAAATATAATGACTAGAAAGATATTGAAACTTAGAAAAAGATATATATAATTGAATTTAGAAAGGAATGAGATAATTAAAAGTAAGATTGAGAAAACTAAGGGAAGGGAAAAATTATTGAGAAAATGTTAAAATAGTAATAAGATATGAAATAGAACACAAAGATGAATATGAAATTGAATTTGTGTCTGTATGGAGAAGTGAAAACCCGGGACCATGCTATTCTCAAAAAAAGAAATTTTACTTGTATTATGTTTTGTGAAAATAAAATAAATAATAAATTTTTTATTTAAAAAAATCGTAACAGCTGGACGGTGGCATTTGGACCACAGGGACAAAAGCCCAAACTAGAGCCTCTGCCAACTTCTGCTGGACAGAAACTATTTTTGCGCTCATACAGTTTAAAACTGCCTATATATTCTTTGCAGTTACATTAGACTGATAACCCATATTCAGCGTGTAATTAACTATTTCAAAAATAATAGAATAGCGCTCTCTCTCTCTCTCTCTCTCTGTTTTGCGTCAGCCCCAAGCCTGATAAGCAGTTCTTCCGTATTTTTTTTTTCCGCCCAAGTCACCAAAAAAGATGCTGAGGAAGCCGGAGCCATCGAGCGCCTCTGGCTAGGAATGTCCCTCTGTACAAAGGCATCGCCACCTGCTCCCATCCGGCCCTAACTGGGTCACTCCCCTCCCTGGCTTTTAAAGCGGGGCGGGCAGGCTTCGGTCTTAGGATGCGAGAACGACAGAAGCGGAGGGGCTCAGGGCGTGGCCCCCTCCACTCTCGGCCCCCAACACTTCCAGGCGCTTGGGCCAGGGGTGTCAAAGGCCCAGGGCCGGCAGGGTCGCCCCGGAAACAGCAAAGGAGCAGCCCGCAGTGCCCCTGCCAGCCCCATTTCAGGCACGGGGGTGAGGGGGGGACTTTAATGGGCCCCCTGCAAAAACAGCCTCCTGGGTCCTGGCCAAAATAATGCTGAGCTGCAGGGCAGGAACGGGAATCTCGCCTCCCAGCCCTGCGGATCTTGGCAGGGGCGCTTCCAGAGTCTGCCCCCCAGCCCCGAGCGAAGGCCACCAAGAGCCCCGCCTTGTCCTCGCTCCAACTGGCCCGGGACCCACAGGCAGAGCCAGCAGGACCTTCCCCAAGAGGAGGCGGGCCCTCCTGCCGCTCTGCGCGGGGCATCAGGTTTGGGAAAGGGTGGGCCCAACGGAGCGGGGAGGCCTCTCGGTCTGATTCTGCCTCCGGGCTACGCGGCCAGGAAGGACCGGAGGACAAAGAGGAGACCCCCAACCATTCCAGGCCAATGGCTGTCCAGTCTCTTCTCCAAAGCAGCCACAACCTCTGGAGGGAAGCTGTTCCTCTGTCAGAAAGTTTCTCCCTTAAAAGTTTCTCCAGGTTGCTTCTCTCCTTCCTTCCATCCGCTGCTTCTTCTCCTGCCTGACCCCCTCAAGGACTCCAAGACTGCCACCCTGCCACCCCCGGACCTCCTTTGCACTAGACTAGCCGCACCCAGCGTGCTGGAAGGCCCGCCTGGCCTGGAAAGGACACCATTCCTGGCACAGACCCAGAGTTGCTTTGGGGCAGCTGCACCGATTGGACAAATAAGTTTTGGGTGGGGGTTCAACAGGGGAAGCCCCTGGGCACTTGGGGGTGGGGGGTGGAGACATTTGCCAGGGAGGGAGGGGAAGGCCTCAGGAAGGAGGACAATTCACTGCCTGAATTCTCTGCCCAGAAGAGCAACACCTGCGGGCTAAATGGACCCTCCAGAGCCCAAGGCAGTGTGTCTGTCACGGCCACCAGTCCTCAAGGAACAGGCAGGGGCAGGGAGGGCTCTGGGCTCCCGGGGGAAGCAGCCGCCTGCTTTGGGGAGAGACCCGGCTGGGTCAGACTTGGCTCCCCACTGAAGTCCCTGGCCTTCCCCCAGCCCAGCCCACCCCGGCTGGCCTCAGACTCCCTCAGCCACAGCCCCCGCCCCCTCCTTCCCCTCTGCCTGGGGGTGGGGGTGGGGTTGGAGGCGCCAGGGGGCAGCCCAGGCCCCCTCCTCTCCCGGCCACGAGGTACCTGTAGGCAGGGACACCGGGGTTGGCGATCATGATGGACTCCAGGTGGAAACGCCCGTCTCCCAGGTAGCTGCAGTGGAAAGGAGGGAGGGTCAGCAAAATAGAGGGAGCGGGGAGGGGAAGGAATCCTTGGAGGGGCCCTGGGGAGGCTGGCAAGGGGCGAGGAGGGGGTGGGGGGGTCCTGAACCGTTTGCCAACCCAGCCGCTAAAAAGCACACGCAGGTAGCAGGAGCCACAGCAACGACCCCTTTAGTGACCATCCAAAGGGACTTCGGTTTTTCAGACTGATGGCCGTGGCCGCATCCCCCTGGTCACAGGATCAAAATCCAGGCGCTTGGCAACTGACTCGCATTTACGACGGCTGCGGTGACCCAGGGAGATGCGATCCCCTTTGGGCCAGCCAAGCCAACAGGGAAGCCGTTGAACTGCGGTAATCCACTTCGCCACTGCAGCAAGAAAGGTCATAAAATGGGGCAAAACCCACACAAGAACTGTCCTGCTTAGCGACAGAAGTTTTGGGCTCAATTGAGGTCGTAAGTTGAGGACCACCTGTAGATAAATAGGCACCTCTTTGGTGGGAAGGCAACAGCCTTAATAACAAATCGAGGGGGGAAGGGACCTTGTAGGACATCTAGTCCACCCCCCCCCCCCCCCCGCCCAAGCGAGGGACCCTACAGAGTTTCTGACCGAGGGCCTCCCAGTCTCCTCTTGGATGACGCTCCCACCGCTTCTCTTCCACGGGTTGACTGTTCTCACCATCAGAAAGTTTCTCCTTATTAACCGGTTAAGCCTTCTGGGCACCTTGGCTCCCATCTCGCCGGCCACCTGACCGGGGAGCCCCCTTCGAACCACCCTGGCTCCCTCCGCTAAGAAAGGGGGTCAGCAGCGCCCCCTAGAGTCAGGCATGGCCAGTCGGGGGGGGGGAAGCTTTTTTTTAAATGGCCCGTTTGCACCCCCAATCCTGAAGCCTCCTGGGGCCCCCGGGTTTTCTCCCAAATCAAGGCTCTGTGGTGCTCACGTCCAGCCAGTGAAGCCCCCTCCTCAAATCTGCCCCCTGGCTGCACGCCAGGTGCCCCCTCCCAAGGAAACGCTCTGCCCCTGACCCCGCTTGGCCTTGCCGAGACCACCCAGGCCCAGCCAGCCATCTACACCGGGCCCTGCTTACAACTCCTGCTTAAGATGCGAGATCCCTTTTCTAAATGGGGATCTGGCAAAGCTCTTGTTTGCTTTCGGAGATCTCTAATTCACTCAGGAACCCTCCCCCCACCGCCTTTGTGGGGGGGGTGGAGGCAGGTAAACTCAGGAAGGCGAATGAAGAGACGGGCCTCCCTTTGCCTCGTTAACGGGGAACTGCACTGAGCAAACACACTGCTTTAATAATAAAAAAGCGATTGTAAACTGGAAAATAAGATACAGCAGCTATTTATCCACTTATTTCTAGGGCAGCCGACAGTCAGCCAGATGCTGAAGAGGCTAATTTCAACAGACACAGAAAGAAAGAAAAACACATTTTTTCTTTCTACATCACGGGTGTCCAACGTTGGCCCCTTTAAGACCTGTGGACTTCGACTCCCAGAATTCCCCAGCCAGCAGAGCTTCTGGGGTTCAAAGTTCTGGGAGTCCACAGGCCCTAAAGTGGCCGTCATTGGACCTTCCTGCTCTACATCAAACACCTGAAGCAAAGAGGAGAATTCGTGAGAACAGTATTTTATTCTTATTATATATATATATGTATATGTACAGGTGAAACTCCAATAATTAGAATATCGTGCAAAAGTTCATTTATTTCAGTAATGCAACTTAAAAGGTGACCCTAATATATGAGATAACTCATTACATGCAAAGCAAGATAGTTCAAGCCGTGATGTGTCATACTTGAGATGATTATGGCTTACAGCTCATGAAAACCCCAAATCCACAATCTCAGAAAATTAGAATATTGTGAAAAGGTTCCATATTCTAGACTCAAAGTGTCCCACTCTAATCAGCTAATAAGCCACAACACCTGCAAAGGGTTCCTGAGCCTTTAAATGGTCTCTCAGTCTGGTTCAGTAGGAATCACAATCATGGGAAAGACCGCTGACCTGACAGTTGTGCAGAAAACCATCACTGACACCCCCCATAAGGAGGGAAAGCCTCAAAAGGTAATTGCAAATGAAGTTGGATGCTCCCAAAGTGATGTATCAAAGCACATTAATGGAAAGTTATGTGGAAGGGAAAAGTGTGGAAGAAAAAGGTGCACAAGCAGCAGGGATGACCGCAGCCTGGAGAGGATTGTCAGGAAAAGGCCATTCAAAAGTGTTGGGGACTTTCACAAGGAGTGGACAGAGGCTGGAGTCAGTGCATCAAGAGCCACTACACAGACGGATCCGGGACATGGGCTTCCAATGTCGTATTCCTCTTGTCAAGCCGCTCCTGAACAACAAACAACGTCAGAAGTGTCTTACCTGGGCTAAAGAAAAACAGACCTGGTCTGTTGCTCAGTGGTCCAAAGTCTTCTTTTATGATGAGAGCAACTTTTGCATCTCATTTGGAAACCAAGGACCCAGAGTCTGGAGGAAGAATGGAGAGGCACACACTGCAAGATGCTTGAAGTCCAGTGTAAAGTTTCCACAGTCTGTGTTGATTTGGGAGTCATGTCACCTGCTGGTGTTGGTCCATTGTCCTTCATTAAGTCCAGGGTCAACGCAGCCGTCTACCAGGAGATTTTGGAGCACTTCATGCTTCCTTCCGCAGACAAGCTTTATGGGGATGCTGACTTCATTTTCCAGCAGGACTTGGCACCTGCCCACACTGCCAAAAGCACCAAAACCTGCTTCAATGACTGTGGGATTCCTGTGCTTGATTGGCCAGCAAACGCGCCTGACCTGAACCCCATGGAGGATCTATGGGGCATTGCCAAGAGGAAGATGAGAGACATGAGACCGAACAATGCAGAAGAGCTGAAGGCCGCTATCGAAGCATCCTGGTCTCCCATAACACCTCAGCAGTGCCACAGGCTGATAGCTTCCATGCCACGCAGCATTGAGGCAGTAATTGCTGCAAAAGGGGCCCAAACCAAGTACTGAGTACATTTGCATGCTTATACTTTTCAGAGGTCCAATATTGTTCTATGTACAATTTTATTGATTGCATGTAATATTTTAATTTTCTGAGATTGTGGATTTGGGGTTTTCATGAGCTGTAAGCCATAATCATCCCAATTATGACAAATCACGGCTTGAACTATCTTGCTTTGCATGTAATGACTCTATCTCGTATATTAGTTTTACCTTTTAAGTTGCATTACTGAAATAAATGAACTTTTGCATGATATTCTAATTTTTCGAGTTTCACCTGTATATGTATATATATGTGTGTGTTTTGTATAGTTTTATCATTTGTAAACTGCCCAGGGTTACCCCGTAGTAAGATGGATGGGCAATAAATTAAAACAAAAATAACATAAAAAAAAAAGAACCGCAGGAAACCCGTGCAAAGGGAGGTTGCCTGGTGGGACCGATGGCTGCCAACCTGCCAGGTGGAGAGGACAGCTGCCCCCCCACCCACCCGAGGAACCCCCTCCAGGCCATCTAAGGAAGGGAAAGGGCAGCCGGGCAGCCACCTGGGGGGCTGGGGAGCCAGGAAGGGCTCGGCTGGCTGCTCTGCGTGAGAAAGTGAGCAGTGGGAATTAAGGGGGCTTCTGAAAGAGCCCCTGGAGACAGAACTGGGGGGGGGGGGTTTGGGGGTCAGCAGAAGACTAGGCTGCCTGTGGCTCAGTTGCATTTGCTTCGGCTGGGGGGGGGGCAGGGGGGGCTGAGCATCTGCTCTGACCTGGACTGAGTGCCCAACAGCTCCGCTGCAGCCTCTCTCCAAAAGGGCATTCAATGCGGCCGGTTCCAGTTTATTTTATTTACAACTTTATTCGATTATTTTATCTCGTGTTTCTTATTTTTATAAATAACTCAAGATGGTGAACATATATAAAGCTCCTTCCTCCACCTCCTATTGTCCAGAGAACAATAACCCTGTGAGGTGGGCTGGGCCGAGAGAGACTGAAGGAGGGAGGAAGGAGAAGGAAGGAAGGAAGGAAGGAAGGGAGGGAGGGATGGAGGGAGGGAAGAAGGAAGGAAGGAAGGAAAAGGGAAAAGGGGGAAGGAAGGAAGGAAGGAAGGAAGGAAGGGATGAAGGAGGGAAGAAGGAAGAAAAGAAGGACGTCAGGGAGAAAGGAAGCCCACCAATGCCAACCAACTGCATGAAGAGGAAGGCAAATGTTTATTGGTTTTATCAAAAGCCTTGCTATAGTTGCCCTTCTTGCCACCGTCCGGGCTGGGCTCTTGACCCTGGGGTTCTGGCACGGGGAAAGGAAGGGAATGGCTGGACAGGCCCCTCGGCCCCTCAGTCCCTCTAGCCCCAGGTGGAAGATGAGAAGGACCGCACCGAACACTCCCAGCTACTGTTCATGAGGACCAGAAATCCGAGCCCTACAAATCAATAATTTACAGCTGAGCCTTCGGAGGGTTTTCTAGCCAAATTTTACACCCAAGCCAGGGGGGGCTTCTAATCCAGGGGTCTCCCACCAGCCGGCTGAGGAATTCTGGGAGTTGAAGTCCACAGGTCGTAAAGTTGCCAAGGTGGGAGACCCCCCGCGATCTACACTCTAAGTTGGAAGGTAAGTAACATTTATGAGATACACATTCAGGGCCTTTAATTCGTGCTAATAAGCAACCCTTCGCATTGGTGCAGTCTCCCCAATTTTTTCGGCGCAATCCTTTATTCAAACACAGAGGATCAAAAGAGACAAATTGGAAGGAGGCTCCCTGGGAGGAGGCCTTTAATGTCATTACCCACTAAATTTAATGAGAACGTTTAAAGATCCTTTGCTTATCGGTGCAAATGTGGGGGAAGCTGGAGAAAGGGAACGTTTTCGAAACGGAGGCACCTTCTGTCTGGGCCTTCTTATTAAGGAAAGACCCGCAGGCTCTCCAGTCCCAAGCCGCCCCCCCCCCCCCCGGGGTGTGTGCGGGTGTGTCTCCCTCCCCCTCCCTTGGATGCCAGCCGGTCAGCAAAACCACCAGCGGCTACTCACACGATGGCGTCCGTCTCCTGGGCCAGCCGGGGGGACGTGCAGCCCAGCAGCTCCCCTGGGGAGAGGGGCTTGCACTGGGGGGTCCAGATGTGGTAGTCGGGCTGGAGTTCCCGGGAGGCAGCCTGCGGAAGGAGGAGGAGGAGGAGGAGGAGGGTGTGAAGGGGATCCAGGCCTCCTGTTTCTCACCCAGCACCCTGCCAAGGGGAGGGCTTCTCTGGCAGACCCCCTGGATCTGGCCCCGGAGGGCCCCCCCTTGCTCATTCCTGAACCCTAGGCAGCGACGGGCCTTTGGAGTGGGGGGGCTCTTGCCAGCCTCTGAAAGGCTCCCCATTGGCCCCCGAGCACCCAGAAGGCCTAAGGTGGGGCTGGCACCTTCTCACCCTCACACAGACACACCAAGGAGGTCACTCATGAACCAAAACGCCCGCCCCGTCCCCCAGGGGAGGCTTCCCCTGTCCAGGGAGCGAACACGGGGCTAGAGGACCCCCTGACCTTCCTGGGCTCCCAGCGGGAGGCAAAGGCCGACCCTCAGCATACAAGCGGCCCCCCCCCACCCCCACCCCACCCCCCTTGGACTGGTGGGCTCAGTTCCACCCACCTGCAGCGCAGACACGAACTGGACGGTGCTAACCAGCGCCAGCTTAGCCCCGGCCGGGAAGTTGAAGCGGAGGGTCTGGATGAGGTGGGCCGTGTCGATCTTGATGTCCACAAACACGTAGAGCATCTTCAGGCCCCGCGTGGAGTCGATGGGAACTGCAGGGACAGGGGAGGCGTTGAGGGGGCCCTGGAGACGGGGGCCCCGCCAAGGGTGGCAGGCAGCGGCGCTTCCACTTCGTGCCAGCCGACCAGTGTGTCCCCAAAGGGGCGGGAAACCCTTCATCCGATCCTCCTTTCCTCCTTCCATCCTAGTCTAGCGGCGTATTAGATTGTCCTCAACCTATGACCACTATGGAGCCTTAGCAGATTTCTGTGGCTAAGTGAGACACTCGTTCACTGAGCATTCCTGCCTTTTACCAACTTTCTTGCAATAACTGTTGCTAAGTGAATCACGGCAGTTGCTTAGTAACACGGTCGTTAAGTGGATCTGGCTTCCCCGTTGCCTTTGCTTGTCAGACAGTTGCACAAGGAGATCACGTGACCCACCCTGGGATGCTGCGACCGTCGTAAGTGTGAAAAACGTAAGTCACTTTTTTTCAGTGCTGTTGGAACTTTGAAGGGTCACTAAACAAACCCTTGTAGGTCAAAGTCTATTTGCATACAAGGGTTGGAAAGGGCCTTGGGAGATCTTCTAGTCCACCCCCTGGTCAAGCAGGGGACCTCAGCCCGCAGTGCTGGAGCCTCCACAAGTCCTGGAGGCAAATTATTCCACCGGTTGCCCGTCAGGAAGTTTCTCCTGGGCTCCCGGTTGCGTCTCTCCTGGGCCAACAGTTTCCTTTGCTGTTTCCCGCCCCGCCCTTTGGGGGCTTTGGGGAATAGGGGCCCCCCTCCTGCTGTGGGGCAGCCTCTCGGGTAGGGGGCCCTGCCATCAGGTCACCCCTTCTTTTCACCCAGCTGGGTGCATTCCCAGCCCTCCTCCCTTCGGCTGAGCCTCCGAGTCCCCTGATCCTCCTGGTGGTTCTTCCCTGCACCGAAGGGAACGAAGGCTGTGCCCCCCCCGCCCAGGGTTCAAGCCCGGGGGGGGTCTCCAGAGGAGGCAGGCGGGAACCCCTCCCCACCGACCCCCCTCTCGCCCTCCCCCCCCGGGGCCTTCAGAGTCCAAAGACGGAGGAGGAAATGGAGAGCGGGGGGCGGTTTTAATCTTAGGCGGAAGGGGGCGGCGCAAAAGGGGGAAGGGAAAAAACCCGGGCCCCCCCCCCCCCGCCTTTCGGTGGCCGAGTCCCCGTAATCCCCTCCCCTCCTTCCCCCCAAACCGAAATGGCTGCCACCCCCCCAGAGCGAGTCACCGGTCAGATTGGAAGGAGGCTGCGCCATTTTCTCTCTCTCTCTCTCTCTGCCCCCGAGACAGGAGGGGGGCTAGTGCCCCCCCCGAATCAGCCAGGCAGCTTAAGTGACTCTGCACCCCCCTCCCCCCCGCTGGGCTGGGTGAAAGTGGGGCAGGAGAGCTGGGGGTCCCCAGTCAAGGGAAGCCCCGTCATGGGCTCAGTCTCCAGGGCAAAGTCCCCCCGGGCTCCTCCCACCAAGGCATCCCCACGAAGTCCTCGTCTTATGGCCACCACTGAGCCCAAAATGTCTGTTGCTGACGTTGGTTCAGTGAATTTTGCCCCAATTTACATGCTTTCTTGCCACGGTCATTAAGTGGTCACAAGTATGAAACACGGTCATATGTCTTTTCCAGTGCCATTATGACTTCAAACGGTCACTAAATGAACTGTTGTAAGTTTAAGAATGTCTGAACTTGGGCTTGGATCCCAGCCAAGAAGGAAACTGTCAGCTCCAGGGGGTCCTTGACTTGTGACCCTCAGCTTAAAAACCATGCCAAGTTACAGCGGCCCTGAGGAAAGGGACTTGTGGCCAGTCCTCGCAGCTATGACTACTGCAGCATTTACCTGGCCCCCTGATCAAAATCGCCCCAGCTGGCTTCCAACGAGCAAAGCCTGTCGGGGAAGCCGGGTTTGCTTAACGACCGTGGGACTCATTAACGACCGGAAGGAGAAGGTGCTTTGTGAGGGGCGCTGAGACAGGCGGCTCCCTCGCAAGGCGGGACTCTGAGACTCAAACGAATTGAAAGAAGGGTGCAACTCACTTAACTACCGCCTCACTTAATGACAGTTCTGGTCCCAGCTGTGATCCTAACTCTGTATGTCCTAAAAGGGCTTCTGCCCTCCAGGTTGGGGGCGGGGGAAGCCAGAGGCGGGGGAACCATGCGCCCCCCTCCAGACAGACAGGAGGGGTCTGGAGGGGCCACCCTGCAAGACCCCTCCTCCACAAAAAAGCCCCTCCCTCCTGCTTTTTATGGGCTGGGACCCTGGGGGCGGGGCTTACCCCGAGACAGGGGAGGGGGCAACAGAGGGTCTCCGGGACATGCAGCCGGGTTGCTGGCCTAACTCAGGGAGAGGCTGGTGGGGAAGAGACCCTGGGGGGGTGGGTTCAGCTTTCTGCATCCCTGAGTATGAAGGTCAGCCCCCACACCCCAACTCCTGGCTCCCGATGCCAGCCTGGGCCCAAGGGGGAGCGGAAGGCCGGGCACCCCGCCTGCAACCGCCACCAGAAGTGGAGCATGGGCTCCGTTCATCCCCTCCCCAACCGTCTTGGGGGGGGGAAGTTCCCAAATGGGCTCGATGGAAGCGGGAGGGACCCCTCCCCGCAACGTCCCTGCAGTGCTGGTGCACCAGAGCCTCTGCCCGGAGGTGGACGTCACGCGTGGCGTGGTGAGCGGAGGCTCCCTGGCCTATCGCTGGTGGGGGGGAGGCTTTTCGGCAGAATGCGGGGCTTAAAGAGGGCGCTCCACCTCGCACACGCGCGCACACACGCGCACACAGAGTCAGCGAGCTGGAAGATGAAGCGGCAGCACACACACACACACACACACGCACGCACAGGGCACGATGGTGCAAAGGGGTGTCAGGAAAGAGGCCGCCACAGCACACCTGGTGGGGCTGCCCCTTGACCCCTCCCCAATTCAGCATGTCTTCCCCCACCCCCACACTCAGCGGGGGGGGATGCCCCCGCAGGAGGACCCCCTCCCCCCGCCCCCCCCCCCCAACCCTACCCCCCCCCCCCCCCCCCAATTCTCTGTGATTTTGAGCCAATTCCATCCTGGGTGGACTTCAAAGTTAGCAGCATCTGGGACAGCAGCAGTTTCCATGGCAACCGAATCTGGAGTACTGCTCCGCCTAGGGAGCCTGCAGGCGGCTGCTCCTGCCCCCCCCGCCCCCTCCCCTCCGCAGCCAGCCAGCCAGCCAAGCGCCAGACATGCGAAGGCTCTGGGAGGATGCGGTCCTCGGCCCCCTTCCCATGGCTAGGGCCAGGCAGGCAGGCAGGCAGGCAGGCGGCCTCCCAGGGGCCATTCTGGTGCCCGGCCAAGAGGAGCCCTTCGGAAGGGGCCCGGAGCCTTCCTGGCTCCCTCAGCTGGGATCCGGCCCCTCCCTGCCCCCCAAGCGCCCACTCTGCCCCCTGGGTACCGGAAACCTTTCCCTCTCCCCCCAGCGGGAGAGCCAGCCAGAGAGCCCAGAAGGGGAGGGGGCCCTGGAGGGAGCCCACCGCCCTTTGCCCACGGCCAGGCAGGGATGGCTTGGCACCTTTCCAGGTAGGCTGTGGGCAAGGGCGGCTGCTTCTCCCCTCCCCCCCCTCTCTCGGAGAAGCCACCGAGCTCCACCTACGTACTCAGGCAGCTGTGGCCGTAGTGGACGAGGAAGTCCGCCCCCAAGGCGCGTGCGGTGAAGTCGTCCACGCAGCAGGCCCCGTAGGTCACGTCGCCCATCACCACGGCTTCTGCCCCAGTGAACCTGCAGGGGGAAGAGGCAGGATGCACCCCCCGCCCCCCGGCCCAGCCCCCCCCCCCCCAAACGTCCCCATGACCCCCTGGGCAGCCCTGGAGCGGCGGCTGGGAGAAGGCACACTGGGGTGGGGGGGACGGGAAGGAGGGCGGTGGGGTCCTCGGTGGCCCCCAAGCCTGGCTGGCAGGGCAGTCCCGGGAGTGGAAGTCGGCAGGTGTCAGGCACCCCTGGTCCGAGGGAAGGGAAGGGCCGCGTCCCAGCCGGGGGAGGGGACGACGGTTTGCTCCCCAGCAACCCAGCCAATTCCAGGTTGAGAAAAAGAAACCTCCTCCCCAGGCCTTTTGGCCCCCCAAGAGAGAAAGGCCGGCGCCCCGTGAGCCCCCGAGAAAGCAAAGGCCAGGAAGGGGGGGGGGCAGAAGGGCCGAGGCTCCGCTGGGAGTGGGGGGAGGGGGCTGAGGAGCCCTGGGCTGCTGCTGCTGCGGCTTCGCTTCTGATAAAAGGATCCGGATAATCAGCCCCCTTTGAAGTCAGGGCATGAAAGGGACCCCTTGCTGGGCAGCTGGCTCCAGAGGCAGCCCCCCCTCCAGCGCCCCCCCCCCCCGTCCCCCCCCCCCCGCATCTCGCCTCTCCACGATGTCAGCCAGGGTGCAAGCAAACATCAGGAGCCCCTCCGGCATCTGCAGGGCGACTGGAAGGGAGGGGGGGACAGAGGAGGCTCATCGGGGTCTCGGAGCAGCTGCTCCCCCAGGAGTTGGGGCCCCCTTTCCCCCAGCAGGGCTCCACCCCACCCGGGGGGGGGACTCCAAGCAAGTCCCCCCCCTCCCACTTCGGCCAAGAGGGGCCTCTGGAAGTTGGCAGAAGCTGAACTCCTCCTACGTGGCGAATGAAGGGGGACCCTCCCTGGCTGGGGATTCTGGGTGCCGCAGTCCCACCGAGAGCGTCAGGTGTGGGGCAGGAGAGGCTGCAGCCAAAGGGGGGGGGGGGGGTTCTGGGGGGAGCGCCAGGGGGAACTGGCCGCAGGGGAGCGAAGCTGGGCGACAGGATGACGTCCGGCTCTGCCCCAGGCAGGATGCAGCAGGCAGGCCAGAGAAGCTCTGCCAGGCGTGCCCAGATCCCTGGCACAGCCCCGAATCCCGCTGACCACTCCGGCCTCTGGTCCTTTCTGGACGGCGGAGAGGTCAGGAAGAGGGCAAAGCTGCTGCCCTGCCAGTCCCCCCCCCCCGATGGGCACCCAGAGGCAGGGAGCCCGCCCGCCTGGCGTCGCCATCTCCCGCAGGCCTCTCCCGCTGCCCACCTCATGAAGCCCCGTGGCACCATACGTGGTGGGGACTGCCTGGGCAAGGGCTCTGCAGCCAGCTCTCCTTGGCACGTGGGGCAGCAGTCGGAGCTGCCGCACCTGGCTCCAGGGGGCTTGTCCGCACCTCTGGGGGGGGGGGCGGCCCCCCCCCCCCCCCACAAAAGCAGCCCTCCACGGAGCAGAGGCAGGCCACGGAGGGATACGGTGGCCCTCAGCCCCCACCCCTTGTGGGCAAAGGAAAGCGGGCCTGGGGGGGGGTCTCCCAGATGCCCTCCCCCACCCTGAGGCACTCACCCCTCCTGGCCTGGGCCTGACGGATCCTCCACACCGTTTTGTAGACCTCAAAGTTGTAGTTGCGAGGGAGGCGTCCCACGGCGTCCTGCAGCTCCGGATCAGAGAGGATCTCCTGGGGGACGTGATGGGCCACTCGGCGGGGGGCTCGCCTGGCTGCGGGGGGGGGGAGGCAGAAGTGAGGCTAGGGGCCACGGGAGGGGGAACCCGAGCCCACCCACCCGCCTGCCTCCCTCCCTCCCCCCTTCATTCCTTGGCACGGAGAGAGGCCAGGGCAGACGGCCGGAGGCCCCTCCTGGCCATTAGGTTTTGACACTCAGCCCCAAGAGCAGC